GTGAACTGGTGCAGCCACTCTGGAAGACTGTGTGGAGGTTCCTCAAAGAGTTAAAAATAGAGCTATTCTATGACCCAGCAATTGCCCTGCTGGGGATTTACCCAAAAGATACAGATGCAGTGAAACGCCGGGACACCTGCACCCCAATGTTTCTAGCAGCAATGTCCACAATAGCCAAACTGTGGAAGGAACCTCGGTGTCCATCGAAAGATGAATGGATAAAGAAGATGTGGTCTATGTATACAATGGAATATTCCTCAGCCATTAGAAACGACAAATACCCACCATTTGCTTCAACGTGGTTGGAACTGGCGGGTATTATGCTGAGTGAAGTAAATCAACTGGAGAAGGACAAACATTATATGTTCTCATTCATTTGGGGAATATAAAAAATAGTGAAAGGGAATAAAGGGAAAGGAGAGAAAATGAGTGGGAAATATCAATGAGGGAGACAGCACATGAGAGACTCCTAACTCTGGGAAATGAACTAGGGGTGGTGGAAGGGGAGGAGGGCGGGGGGTGGGGGTGACTGGGTGACGGCACTGAGGGGGGCACTTGATGGGATGAGCACTGGGTGTTATTCTATATGTTGGCAAACTGAACACCAATAAAAAATAAATTAAAAAAATAAAAAATAAAGAGGAGCAGAGAGAGAGAGAGAGAGAGAGAGAAAATCTTAAGCAGGCTCCACGCCCAGCAAGGAGCCTGATGCAGAGCTCAATTTCACAATCCTGAGATCATGACCTGAGCTGATATCAAAAATTGGATGCCTAACAGATTGAGCCACCCAGGTGCTCCAAAGTATATTTAATTCATCATTCCTTAAACTATGTCTCATATAATCCTGTTCCAAAAGATAATTAGATATATTGCAGAGGGGTGGAAAGGAAAAGTCATGGTTAAATACAATGCACCCCTTCTGGAGATCCACAAATCACAGTAAACATTAATATAATAAAGGCTCTAGAGAAGTCTTACATCATAGAAACCTTTGTTTAACCCAGCTTATTTTGACACAAAATTCTTCTACTACAGCCTAACTATTTGCATCATATGTTTAGACTAACTGCCCGGATAAAAGTAATTATTAACTGAACACCCACAATAGATACAGTAAAAATAGATAGTTCTTAAATCTTTCCTAACACAAAAGTACTAATTCTTTTAGAAGTTCCTATGTTCAGTCTAGTGAACTCCTACCTCTTTACACACCAAAGCCTTGCTCAAATATTATCTCATTATCTCACCCAGTGCTCTCTATATTACTAACTATTCCTTTTTTCCTGGTTTTCACAGCATTTAGTTATAGCTCTATTATCTCACTTAACACAGGATAAATCAGTTCATCCATCTGTCTCCTTGCTAGATGGTGAGCTCTGTGAGAGTAAGTTGGATTATATTTTCAGCACCTTGAAACAGTGTAAGGCACATATGAGCCTCACAATCAAGAAGTAAACAAAGTCACTACGTTATAACAGTTCCCCAGAATTCAATTCTTGTATTTCTGAACTGCTGGTGATACCTTGCCATCAGCTTGAGAACATTATGCTTTCTCCCTAAAACTTGCATCCACTATGGAACAGCAGTGGTCAGAGTTAACTCAGTTGTGGCAAGCCCTCTCGCCAAGCCTATTCAGTTTTTTCCTTAGGTGATTTTTGTTTGTTTATGTCTCTGTGCCTTTGCACCTGCTGATCCCTGCCTGGAATGCTGTCTCAAAGTTCTATGCACCTGGAAAACATTCCTATGAGTCAGGTTAATGGAGAGAGGCTTAAAAGGAAGAGTTTAAGCACAGAGTTAAACAGAAATGTCCTAAAAGTCAATATGCTAGGGGATGTGAAGTGGGAGGGGGCACACCAGGTTTTACTTTGGTCAATTTATCATTCCAACCTGGACCTCTCCCCTGAGCTGTTAACTGTTTCTTTTTCTCAAATATAATATCAGGAAGGACAAGAGCTTAATCTATTTGTTCACCAGAGTCTAAAATAAAGCCTTGGTTACAGTAAGTGCTTAATAAATATTTGTTGAATAAGTAAATTCTCAAAGAAGCTAAAAGAACATTCTACAGTGGGCTGCAAAAAGGGCTATCATGAAATAGACACCAGAGGTCATTTACAAGTACAGCTGATCCTCACTTTTTTATGGATCCTGTATTTGTGAATTCTCCTACTTGCTAAAATATCTTTGTAACCACAAAAACAACCCTCACGGCTGCTTTCTCTGTCGTCCACAGACATGCACAAGGTGCAAAAGTGGCGTCACCCCTCAAACACATTCCCAGCTAAGGTAGAACAAGGTAGTGCTCTGGATTTGTGTTTCCAGTCTCATACAAGGATGACTAAAAGACACAGATGGCAGGGGGCAGTGGAGTATAGCACAAGAAGCTCTGGCTTAGGGGCCAGACAGAGTTTGAATCCTAACTCAGGCACTTGTTTGAAGGTGGGCTCAGAGAAATCACTTAACACTTCTGAACCTCATTTTCTCTTTTGAAATAAAGAAAATAGAATTTACCAGGATGAACTGTATTTATATGAGATTATAACCTACGTAAGATATATACATGTACATATTTTCCCTAGGAGCATTGGTTCAGTATTTGCTAATTTAGTGCTCTAGGTGGCTTTATAGACCAAAATTACTGCAAATAATGAGAATTAAAGATAATTATTTATAATGAAATAACGCAAAGATATAGAAAACAATTATTTGGATGTAGTGCAGGCCAGTGTCAAACTTCAGGAGATTTTGAAATAGAATCTCACTAAGCATATAAGGTGTGGAAAAGGCTTTCAAGAAGAAAGAAACAGTACAGAGAGAGACCCAAGTGTGTAAAACAAACAGACAGGTTTAGGAAATGGCAGGAACATGGGGTCACACTGCCTGTCGGTGCCCTACATACACCCTGCACTGCAGAACCTCTCCCTCTGAATTTAATTTTTGGTTTACAGGTCTCTCTCTCATTAAACTGTTAGTTCCTTAAAGAGAAGATCTCTAGGAAGAAATCATAGCTACAATCTTTTAAATCTGCAAATGAGTTATTACTAAGCACCAATACACCTGAAAAGACTGTAAAAAAAATACCTTTGGTTTTCAACCACAGCCTTATGCCAACTCATAATAGCAACTAACTCATAGATTTGCAGTTTTTCCAGAACTTTTCTTTGATGACTGCTAATAATTCTGTAATTAATACTTTTTATTGTTCTCAATACCTGGGCATTTGTTAGAATAGCTTTAAGAGCTTCCTCTTTTTCATGTGATTTATTAACAGGGCTCAAACATATGGTGTATTAATGCAATGTTGCCTCCTCAGAGTAAAGATTCCTCTTAATTCACTCTACTAGACTTATTTCTCTATATACAAAGTACAGTCTTACCATAGCAAAATACAAGGAAAAATACACATGTATTACAAATAAGATAAAACAGTAAGACTTTTTTTTTACAAAAACTTGCTAAATTCTGGCCAAAACACACTTTACATATCAAACTCATTGCTTACATTTCACCTCTGTGTACTGAGAAAAATAATTACAATTTATATGAATTCGTGAAACTAAGTACTTTTAGAACCTACAAAGTTTTGTACACGTGTATTTTCTCCTGCACACTCTCATACACACATAGCCTAAGGGGCCCATCACACTTAATCCAATACTTCTATTTCCTCAAAATAAAACCCTTACTGTCCAATATCTAAATTAACATTTTCAAAACTCTAAAGTGATAAGCTACTTTTCCCCATAAATTTCTTGGCATAATTTTATTTAGGCACAACACAGTTTGCACTATTATCTAGAACTGACATCATTATGTGGCTAGAACCAACATCATTAAAACACAAACTGATATACTATAAATGTGAATACAAATCCTCTGTGAATGGGGAAAAGAGAATATCGTTTTTAAGTAGTTTTAATGCCGTATTATCCATAGTCTGGGTGTGATCAAATCACATGGTGCTACACAGCTAAAATATGTCATATATTTTATGATAAAGCAGGGTGGACAGGCCCTTACATTGTAAACTCTCTGCTACTCCAGTTAAGCTTTTTAAGGTACAATGAAAAAAGAAAGAAAGGAGGAATAATGAAAACTGCCTACTTAAAATAATAATACATTTTAAATTTCTTGTGGCCAGTAAACCCTTCTCACGTCCATTTTCAGAAACTATCACCAAAACAACTACCGGGACAAAGATTTCGCAGAGGATATTACGACCAAATACCATTTTTAAGGAAGGCAAGAATAGTTTACCATTAAGGAAACCGATTAAAGGTCCCAATCTTGCAAAGCTCCCTGTACTGAGTATTCTGCGTCTCTGGCGTTCACCTTCCAGCTGCTTGGACCGAGCAAGTGGAAAATGTTAGTTTTCATGAGCGAAGTGGATGAAATTTAGGGGGTGGGAGGGGCGAGGGACTCACTCGCAGAACAGAAGGCGGCAGAGAAGTGGCCAGGGTTCCTAACTCAAGTTAGGTTTCAAGAACCAAAGCTGGAGCAAAGTGGGGAGGTGGAGGGAGTAGACGCAAAGCAAATAACGCACCGGGGCCCGCGAATGGGGGAGGGGTGAAAACGCGCACCTCCTCCGCCTCGCCGCCGGGAAGGGGACCGCGGGAGGCGGCTCCGGGCAGGGCAGTCGGCCTCGCGGCGTTGCACCGGGGTAGTGAGGGGACTCGCAAGCCGGAGGGCTCAGTCCGGAGGAGGCTGAGGGGGCTCCGGGAAACTGAGGGGCGAGGGAGGAAGAGCGCGCGCCTGTGCGGGGAGAACGGGGCTAAGACCCCCTCACGCCCGCGAGAGGCAGAGGGTAACTAACCCCAGCGGACGTCCCTTCTCTCCGACGGCCACGACCTGGGACCCTCCCCACAGGAGCCCGGACGGGCGCGCGTCGCCCCTCACAGCCCCGACGGCTGCGGAGGAAAGGGAGGCGCAGGGCGCCCCCAGAGCCAGGAGACAGACGCTTCCCGTGGGTCCCCCTCCCTGGCAGCCCGGCTGCCCAAGCCCACCTGGGCTGATCAGAAGCCCTTCCTCCAGATCGTACTCTGCCACTCCTCCGAGAGCCTCAGCCGTCGCCGCAGAGGTCGCCGTCGCCAGAAGAGTCTCGGCCTCCAGTACCAAAGCGTGAGCCACAGCACGGGAGAAGCGCCGCTCGCCACTCGCCAGGTTACCTCTTACAGCACACTGGCTCCTTACTCCGCCCCCGAACCCAAGCCATTGGTTGCAGGGCACCGCCCCACTCGCCTATTGGGCCGAAGATGATGCCGCTCAGTCGCCTAGAAGGGCATGTGTGATGCTTATTGGTCCAAGCGGGAGGCAGTTCCCGCCCACTCCTTCAGAAGTTCCAGCTTCCGATTGGTGTTAACATCTGTCTTTTCGCCGCCTTCGTTCTTTCTCTCAGGGTGGAGCGCCTCCTTTCGGGAGACACCAGCTCTGATTGGTTGAAAGGACATTACGCTGGTCTGAATGGGCGTAGAGCCGAGGAAGCGTCCAGCCCCCACGTGGGGGAGGAACCCAAGGCGCCGCACCTCCGGGTTTGTTTACACAGGCTCGGGCTGGCGCTTCCTTCTATTGGCTGAGCCCGCGGCCCCTCCCAGCGGGTTGCGCCAGTCAACCTAGCCGGGAGGGGCACAGGGGCGGGCCCCAGTGGGATTTCCCTGCCTTTTCCAGAGCCCCGGGAGGAGCCTTAGAATAGGCTGGAGCTGGCGCTGCGCTTCACCCTCGGGAAGCTGCGGAGCTGGGCTCCCTGGAGGGGGTCGAAAGCAGCAGAGAGATGTCTCACACTTCTAGAAACAAACCTAAATTCTTGAGTGCTTTTAAATCTCCCCCTTAAACTTAGGGTGTCCCATTTTTGCTTGCTAGGGACTTTAAATTTTATACCTCAGGAAGCGAGGATTTCTTTACGGAAGTCTTTATACGTCTTTGTCTCTCCCCACCTCTCATGCTGCCTATACACATAACACAAAGTAGAGGTTTAATAAGTGATTACATGATGAGTGGATAAAAATGAAAAGGGCAGTGAAATAAAGTCACATTAGGTAACAATAGTTAAATGTTACATATTCAATATAAATATAAATAATATAATAAAGTTAATGTAAATAATGTAACGAAGTTGATACATAAATAAATTCATTCATTCAACAAATATTATTGAGCATATGCTATGACATTGCAGGCTCTGATCTAGGCTCCAGGTGTATGATACGAATAAGACAATGAAAATGGAAAAAGTGGAAGAGAGTGACAATGAACAAGTACCCAACAAATAATAAAATGTCAAGTTGTGATTGAGAGCTACAAAGAAAAATAAAGCAAGGATTAAAGAATGGTTGAAGGAATGGCTATTTTAGGTAGAATGGTGAGTTTAAGAGCTTTTTGAGGAAACAGCATTGCAAAGAGATACGAATAATGTGAAGAGCAGGAAAGAGACTGTTAAGCTGGGCCTCTGCTTCGTGTAACACCAGGATCACTAGTCACACTGTTTCATGTATTTCCAATTTGTGTTATTAGGTATAATTTTAGGATTGCTTGCTCTGGTTTTAATTTGATCTCAGTTGGGGCACCTGGGTGGCTCAGCAATTGAGCATCTGCCTTTGGCTCAGGTTGTGATCCCAGGGTCCTGAGATGGAGTCCCAAATCCATCCCTGCAGGGAGTCCCACATCCATCCCTGCAGGGAGCCTGCCTCTCCCTCTGCCTGTGTCTCTGCCTCTCTCTGTGTCTCTCATGAATGAATAAATAAAATATTTTAACAAATAAAAGTAAAAAAATAATAATTTGATCTCAGTTAAATAATGTAAGTGGATCCTACTAGAAATACTTACCTTCTTCAGGGAAAAAAAAATCCAACTATAAAATAACCTCCCCACCCTCCATTGCTTCTTTTCCTAAAGTTGTCTTCAGCTATTTGATGAGAGTGTGCTTACAGGATCTCAAAGCTTTGAAAAATAGGGTCCTCAAGTCCATATTGTGTTCTTGCAGAATCAGAAATACTATTATAGGATGTAGATATACTACAGAATAGCAATGATGTGGGGAAGTCTTGGTGGGCTACTATTGTTTCCCTACCTACCAGTGACACTGTCTTGCAACCTCATGACTGGATATCACCAATGACAAAGAGAAAATCTTAAAAGTTGACGGAGAAAAAAGGTATGTTACATTTGCGGGGGGGGGGGGTGTTGGGGGTGGGAAGATAAGAATTACAGCAGACTTCCTATCAGAAACTATGGAAGGGGATCCCTGGGTGGCTCAGCGGTTTAGCGCCTGCCTTTGGCCCAGGGCGCGATCCTGGAATCCCGGGATTGAGTCCCACGTCGGGCTCCCAGCATGGAGCCTGCTTCTCCCTTCTCCGGTGTCTCTGCCTCTCTCTCTCTATCATAATAAATGAATAAATCTTTAAAAAAAAAAAAAAAGAAACTATGGAAGCCAAAAGACAATGAATGAGGGAGGTAACCAGGTGGATATCTGATAGTGGTATGCAGAATACATAGGCATCCCAAGCAAGAGGTAGTAAAAAATAACCAGTCACGAAGTTATAGGGGATGGTGTCAGTTGGAGAGAGGAAAACAAGAGGAGTCCACCAATCCTTCCTGCACATCCTATTTCTGTCATGGATGATAAATCTTCATCCTCAAAGAATATCTCTTATTTTTATTGTGGTAAAATACACATGATATAAGTTTTACTATTTTTTTTACCATTTTTAAGTGCACAGCTCATAAGTATATTCATTGTTGTGCAATCAGCACTACTATCCATCTCCAGAATGTTTTCATCATCCTAAACTGAAATTTTATACTCAGCAAACAATAACTTCCTATCCTCCCTTCCCCTACCCTCTGGAAATCACCATTCGACTTTGTGTCTCTATGAATTTGATGATTATAGGTACCTCATTTAAGCAGAATCATATAATATTTGTGCTTTTGTGTCTGGCCTATTGCATTAGGCATAATATCTTTAAGGTTCATCCATGTTGTAACATATATCAAACTTTCACTCTCTTTTAAAGCCGAATAGTATTCCATTGTATATACATACCATCTTTTGTTTATCCATTCATCCATCAATGAAATTTGACTTTTGTGAATAATGCTGCTATAAACACTGGTGTACAAGTATCTATTCAAGTCCCTGATTTCAATTCTTTTGAGTTTATACTCAGAAGCAGAATTCTAGGTTTTGATCTAGGTAATTCTAGGTTTAAGTTCTTGAGGAACTTCCATACTATTTCCCACAGCAGCTGTACTATTTTACATTCCCACCAACAGTACATAAGGGTTCCAATTTCTCCACATCCTCACCAACACTTGTTATTTTCTGCTTGGGATTTGTTTTTTTGTTTTGTTTTGTTTTGTTTTTTATAATACCTATTCTAAAGAGTGCAAAGTAGTATCTTCTATTTTTGGTTTGCACTGTCCTAATTATTGGTAATGCTGAGCATCTTTTCATGTGCTTTTCAGATTTGTTGGAGAAATGTCTATACCAGTCCTTTGCATATTTTTAACAGTATTGTTTTTGAGTTTTATTTTTTTTATGTTTTTGAGTTTTAGAAGTTCTGTACATACTCTGGATATTAATCCCTTATTAGATATAGGATTTGTAAACATTTTCTTCCATTCTGTGGGTTGCCTTTTTTCCCTCTGTTGATAGTATCCTTTGATGCTCAGAGAGTATTTCTCACTGTGCTAGGTCTGGATGACCAAGTGGGTAGTTAAAAAACCAGGGATCTACTATTAATTAAAGAGGAGAACAGAGGGGTACCTGACTAGCTCAGTCAGTAGAGCATATGACTCTTGATCTTGGGCTTGTAAGTTTGAGCCCCATGTCGGGTGTAGAGATTACTTTAAAATATTTATTTTTAAAGGAGAATGATTATAAAGGTCACAGAAGATAAAGCTGGAAGATAAAGTTGAGGAAATGTCCCATGAAGCAAAACAAAGGCAGCCTGGGAGGGCTCGTAGGTTTAGAGCCGCCTTTGGCCTAGGGCTGATCCTGGGGATCTGGGATTGAGTCCCTGCATGGAGCCTGTTTCTCCCTCTGTCTGTGTCTCTGCCTCTCTCTCTCTCCTCTCCGTGTCTCTCGTGAATAAATGAATACAATCTTTAAAAAAAAAAAAAAGGCAAAACAAAAGTAAATTTGATGGAAAATAGGAGACAAAGTGTGAGATAGGTTCCAGAAGTAGAGAAGAGAGGCAAGGATATGAATTAAATGATACCAAAAATATGTATCATAACTGAATTAACCTGAGTCCTTTAATTGAAAGAACTCAAGTGCCCCAAACTTTAAATTAAAAAAAGTTCACATCAGTAGGAACACTTGTTAAATTTTTACTATGTGCTACGCACTGTTTTAAGTTCTTAACATGTATTAACCCATTTAATTTTCAAAACAACAGGAGTACTGTTATTATCCCCATTTAAAAACAGATATACTGAAGTAAAAAAGATTATGTAACTTACCCAAATCATTCAGCTCATTTGTGGGGCAACTTCGTTGTGGTCCCTCTTCAGATGATAATGGATTTGGATGTCATTACTAATGTATGCCACACATGTACCAAGAGGGCATTAAGAGATTTGTTGTGTATAGAATGAGGTCTTTTATGCCTCAGGCTCCCACGTAGGGCAGACTATGTCCTGAGAAAGTCAGGAGGGCAACTGACTTTGACTTTAATTGTAGTTAGTGAGTAGTACTGTGGTAAGGGTTTTCATGTACAGGTTGGTGGCTCACATGGCTTGAACTTCCCAAAGGAGGAAGCACGGGGCTTATTGCTTTGCCTACTATGGGGGCAAGAGAAGAAAGAAGGGTGGGGATCACAAATTCTAATCAGTCAAATGTAAAGAATGGAGACAGATTCTCTATTACAAGTCAAATTCGGGACGCCTGGATGGCTCAATAGTTGAGCATCTGCCTTCTGCTCAGGACATGATCCCAGGGTCCTGGAATAGAGTCCCACATCGGGCTCCCTGAGAGGAGCCTGCTTCTCTCTCTGCGTATGTCTCTGCCTTTCTCTGTGTGTCTCTCATGAGTAAATAAATAAAATCTTTTTTTTAAAAAAGGTCAAATTCAAGTCAAAGCATTTTCAAAGCAGTAAGGCTAAGGAGATGATCCTGAAAGTTTCCAGAGAGCAATAGGTCACACATAAAATTAGGAATTAAGAAAATCAGAC